GCGTTCAAATCGCAATCAATAATCAGGATGCTAGTGTTTTTCGCCATACGAAGGAATTATGAATGCTGACGGTATAAATCGCATCTGATTCCCTCCAAACAGCAGTCAGTAGGAGGATGAACGGAAATGCTGAAAAGGCGCATTGTCGTCAGACGATGTTTATTAACTCCAGTATGTGTCCACAGTCGAATTGCACACATGCGGCTGTTCAGTGGCATCCGATTGAGTAGACTGGCTGGAGATCATTAACCAGCTAACCGCGCTGTTCGCAAAAATTTGGCATGAAAAGAAAGTGCCTTCCTCTTGGGGCGAATCAGTTATTGTCCCAAGTTTCAAGAAAGGCGCTCGCACTTCATGTGCGAACCATCGCGCGATTAGTCTTATTTCGGTTTCCTCTAAGCTGTTGGCATCCATTCTGCTTCGTAGACTATCCCCAGTACGTGAATCTTATTACCGTGAAGAACAAGCTGGTTTCCGTCCTGGCCGCGGATGCGTGGATCAAATCTTCACGCTCCGCCAACTCCTTGAACATCGCCACATTTATCAAAGGCCCACTATCGTTGCATTCATAGACATACGTACTGCTTTTGACTCCGTTGATCGATCTGCTTTATGGCGTTGCTTACTAAAGAAAGAGGTGCCAGAGAAATATACCGCCATCTTACGAACACTTTACCTTCATACATCCGGCAGAGTGAGGGTCTATGGCAAGCTTTCCTCGCAATTCGCTGTCAATAGCGGTGTATGACTGGGCTGCCCTATGTCCCCATTCCTCTTGAACTTCGCAATCGAAGACATTCTGTCGAATGCCCTAGAAGGTTTCCAACATTTTGGCTTAGAGCTTCTACCGGGCGAGGGCGCGACCGACTTAGATTATGCTGATGATATCGCCTTACTTGGTGACGATCTTCAGGGTATGCAATTCATTCTGGATCGTTTGGAGGTTGAAGCATCTAAGTATGGCATGACCTTCGCGCCATCGAAGTGTGAAGTACTGCTCAAGGATTGGCTTTCACCTGCTCCCGTGCTCACTCTCCAAGGTGCACAACTTGTACAGGTAGATAGTTTCGTCTACCTTGGGAGCTGTGTTTCTGCTGACGGCACTATCAACAAAGAAGTTTCTCTTCGTATCGCTAAAGCTCGATCAGCATTTGTCAATCTGAGGCACTTGTGGCGTCGTCGTGACGTCACATTCTCACTAAAGGGCCGCATTTACAGCGCATCAGTTCACTCAGTATTGTTGTGTGGGTGCGAGTCTTGGCCGAGTCGCGTGGAAGACATGCGTCGTCTTTCTGCGTTCGATAACGGTTGCTTAAGGAGGATCGCTCGTGTTTGGTGACAACATCGAAGTAATAGTAATGACGTTCGACGTCGCATCTCGGGGAATGCGTGTATTCCCTTCAACAAACTGGTTTTGTTGCGCCAGTTAAGATGGCTCAGTCACGCCTTACGCATGGCACATGAGCATCTACCGCGTCGCGCTCTATTCGCTCGTCAAGGACCTGGCTGGAGGCGACTGCGTGATGGTCAGCCTTCCATTTGGCGGCAGCACATGAAATCGCTGACGTCGTGTCTAGCCGCTTTTGGATCCGTACGTCTTCCAGGATGTGGACCCAAAGATGAGGAGAGCCAATGGCTTAGCACTCTTGAAGATATGCCCCGCAACCGGAATCAGTGGAAGAGTTGTGTACGGTGTTGTGTTGATTCACATGTTTAATATTACCAACATTGAAAATGACAAAAAAGAGAAAAATGAGCGTGCGAAAAGCAAACTAAAAGTGTTTTGTTCTATTTTTTATCAAAATGTTCCATTCTTCTTGCGGCATATCAGCTGAAGTGTGTTGCCCACCTTCAGCTAGCATGCCACGATGATTATAACGCAATGACTCTCCTATCCACTGATTTCCATGGTTTTTATTGGCTCTATGTCTAGTTGCTAGACTGTTGAGATTACTACTACTACTTCGTCATTTTATTGAGGACAATGTCGACACCCTAAGTACCTTGAGCTATTGACTTAATATCACCAGAGTCGGGGAGATTGTAGTCATTTTCAGCGGATTCGAAATCATAAAGCCAAAGATTTGTCACATTAGCATTATATTGTGTGCAACTTTTTGAAACACTGTAGAGTGAGAATTAGTGCTGCCTGTTGACCAATCTGACCGAGAGGGCGGACGTTAAAAAAACCAATGGGAAGTTAGACCCTTAGTTTGAGAGATGTTATGTGTACCTATGGCAGCGGCAGTCTATTGTTCAATAGACGGGCAAGAAGAGTTACAATGAGAGAGAAGCAGAACGGAGACAAAGGAATATTTTCGGCGGGGTCGAGAGGGCAGATGATGCTCTCCGACTGCCCGTTTGGAGGATTTTTTCGAGGTGTCGTTGACTCAAAAGCCTGATCCACAAAGCAATGATATGCAAATCCAGCCCTAGCGTGTGGTTACAGAGGCCCATTGGGATCTGCTCGAACTCTGTCGCACGTCAGGCAATTCCAACTGGTGTTATCATTCACTACGCAGGACCACTAACGCTGGACTCAAACAGATTCTCAGTGAGGATCACTAGACCTAGTGGACGCAACGGGTCGTTGATATGGAGTGTGCAGCCAGCTCAGGGACTCTCCGAAAGCTTTTCCACCTTATCCGGTCCACTGGCGGCAAAAGGCCGACTGTAAGCGAAGTTATGTGCGAAATCAATGGCGAGCTAATCCACCGCAAGCAACGTCGACTTGTGCGTTGGGCTGAGCACTTTGAGCAGCAGTTCAACTGGCCTGCAACACCGATGATCCCTCACTCTGGAATCCGTATTGCTCCCTGGTGTGTAGACGATTCACCACCGGAGGCTGAGGTTGCTCATAAGCTTCGCCTTCTAAAGCGCTTCAAAGCCCCTCCCTCCGGCTGTTTGCAAAAATGGTTCATTACTTGTTCCTCAGCGAACTTCTCTCCAAAAGGTTTGGATCACCAAAAAAATCACTTTCGCTTGGAGTCTCGCGGATATCGTGCCTGTCTTCAAAAAGGGTGCCGTACGGACTGCGCTAAACACAGAGGGATTAGTCTCATCTGCGTTGTCTTTAAAGTGCTGGCCGTCCTGTTGTTAAGGAGGCTCAGTCTGGTACTCGAACAAAACCTACTCGAAGAGCAAGCTGGGTACGCTCCGGCCGGAGTTGTATCGATCACATCCTTGCACTCTGCCAAATACTCGAGCGGCGTCACACCTTCGGCCGGCCAACGATCGTTGTCTTCTTAGGTCCGCGTTTGACTCAGTTGACCTAGCTGCTCTCAGAAGCTGTCTCTTGAGGAGGGAGTGCATGAGAAGTACGTTAACATCTTTCGAGTCATCTATTCTCGAAATTCGTGCCGGTGTACGGCGAACTTGTGCCGCCCTTTAGTATTACCAGTGTCGTGAGACAGGGTTGCTCTGCATTACCCTTTCTGCTCAATTTCACTATTGATGACATCCTGGAGAGCTGCGGACGGAGCTGCTTCTGTGGGACCGACTTCGGGATTTGGAGCATACGGACGACATTACGGTAAATTGTGATTCCTCACAGGCCGCAAAAATGTGCTCTGCAGCTTGTAGTTATCTGTCTCCCAGTTTACAGTGACCTTCGCTCCTTCAAAGTCTTCGTACGGGACTGGCCAGGATCTGCTCCAACCCTTTCAGGTCAATCCCTGGAAGTGGTAGACAAGTTTGTTTACCTCGGAAGTTGCATCAGCGCTAACGGTTTGACGGATAAAGTCTCATTGTGCGTCTCTAAGACCCGAGTTACGTTTGCCAATGTCTACCATCTCTGAGGTTGCCGCGACCTGAGTCTATCCTTGAAGGGCCGAGTCTACAATGCCACGGTGAAAGCGGTCCTGCTCTACAGTTGTGAGACTTGGCCTGTTCGCCGCTGCCTTGGTAGCATTACTGGTGTTCGGTGGCAACACCACATTAGTATTGCGATTGTTCACTGAAGGATGTTCAAATCGGACAGACTTTGCCAAAGGTGAGCCGTATACTTTCACTGCATTGGCTTCGGTGGCTCGGGCAATTGCTTCGCATGCCTACTGAGCGTTTGCTTTACCGTGCACTCCTTGTGCGCACAGAAGTCGGCTAGAAGCGAAGACAAGTTGGCCAGCGAATGACTTGGGCGAAAAGTATGAAGGCGTTGACTTCACATTTGGCTGCGGTCAGGCGCTCTCGACTCTCCATTTGGGGGCCCAAGGACCATTAACACACTTGACTGGAAACCCTATCGGACATGTCAAGAAACCGTGAGTACTTTTTTACCTTCTATTTCCCTATTATTGTTGTATTATTATGTTTGTCCATACGTTGCGGCACCCAGCCAATTTTACTGTTGGCAGTGTGGCAGTATATATATATATATACTGTCACACACTGTCTTTGAAGAATGGAAACTGTCTACGTTTTTCGATCGTTGTATCTTAGGCCCTTGCGATCACGGCCAGCCGCAGGTGGGAGTTGGTGCGTCTGCACCAATTTGACGAGGGTCTGCCTGGCTTGAGGCGGATGGTAACAAACTATTAAGCACCGGACGATGCCGTCCCATCGTTAGAGACAATGCGTGGCGTGTTTTGCACGACTAGGTTTTGAGGGCCGAAGACCTTTGGACTCTCTCAACCTTCAAAATGGATTGTGGGAATGAACATTTCTGGCCCCTAACCATCCACTTATCTTGTTTGAGTGGATCTGAAGGCACCTGGCAAGTGCTATTCAGCAAACCGTTGCACCACGTTGAGGTCGAGTCTCCAGGTGTAGCATCGATACATCAGTTGCCACATGCAATCTCTATTGGAAGAGAAAAAAGCGGAAAACTCATTTTTTGACATTCATCCATGACCTTCACTACGAAAACTAATCCACAAGACGGTTAAACTATGATTTTAAGCGATTTGTGTGATGCTTGGGTATTCACATTACAACTTATAACCATAATTGCCGTATTTTCACTGGGACTAATTGCAAAATGTATTCTCCTTTATTTCTTTCAGCTGTACCGCAACTGCCCCCAGTGAGCCGTCCACGCGAGCAAGTGCGTCCGGTTGACACTGTTGAACACGACTCGGATCCAAAAAGACACAGGCGGCCACCTGGCCTACCGCGTGCACCGGATCCTTACGAATCCACAGAATACTCGTACTTGATCCTACCTATTTTGGGTACTTTAGCTGCTTCTTTACCGATTGTGTTTTGTCTGTGTAAAGTTTGATTGCATGTTTTCCTGCTGTCCTTCCACCACTAGAACTTGCCCCATTTATGATCGCCACTTAATCATTGGCTACCGTTCGCATATCAATATGTTGTATTTGTGCACTTGAGCGATTTTGATGAAAGTTTCCTTTGTCCTATTGTCTTGTACAACGCTGGAATGACACCATTCCTCGCAGCAAAAAGCACATACGTTCCATGCGAATATTGACAAGGTGCCTGTACGTCAAAAACCGCAACCTCCACTACTGGCTCCATGAGACCGTCAGTCGTTGCTAGGGGCGGGGTGTACGATTTTCATGACAGTGATAGGCTCAAAGAGTGGTTTTATCCTGTTTGGAACAACCCACGGCCCAGACACTACTGTGTACGTGGAGCACACATATTTATTTTCCCCCCACTTTATAGGAATTATGCATTCGTCGAATGAGCTGGCTCCGAATCATACGCCGATTATTATCCATCTGATTCCCAGTCTTTTTGGTTTGGGTTTATATTAGGTGTGGGGTTTATGGATAAAGCTGTAGTCAGTGCAGCGCAATCCACTCATGGTCCCCTATGTAAATGCAGGCGTCCTGTGGTTGTGACAGGCAGTTCCGGGACCGGATGCCATGAACCATATAAACAGCAGGGACTATCTCGGTAAAAGAATGCTATGCCGGCTAAATTGTAGCGGTTTTTTTTGACAGTCCTCGATCAAAGTTAAGGCCATGATAGGAGCAGACCTCTTGGTTAGACTACAGTTGCGAGGTGTACCGCAGCCTACTGCGTAAACAACAGCAAAGATTGTCCTGAACTGTTTGGTTATGTCTGTTTGACCAGTGGGTACCGCTGAAAATTGTACCGTGCAGCAGATGACGCGGAGAGACGGGCTGAACAAGTCACGGTGTTCGAGCCAATCAAGACTAAGTAGATCGATATTCGTCTTCGTTATGCAGCAAAACCTGTCGAATGTAATGTTTCAAAAATCTACAGAGCAGTGTGGATATCCATGGAACACACCACTACTTCGTCACGCGCTCTCATTCTTCTCTCCATCGGTTCTCACCAATCTACATCACACGACGACCATTTAGCTGCGGTTACTCCGTGTAACCCTGGATTTAATCCCCGGTTTCGATGCTGCTCACAAAGACCGGTCTGGGGCAATCCTTCGATCTCGATTCTCGTTTCAGCTGGCAATGTTCAACAGGTCAGTCTAGCAAGCACTGGACTCACTCGCTATTAATATATGCTGCATTTCCGAAACTAGGTTGCAAGAACCGAGCATTGTGCTCAAGTTGACTTCCCCGATGAACCAGGGAGCCACATATCACGTACGTATTTCTGGCGACGCAGAATCTGTTACAGCTGATTTGGCAGGCGTTGGTGTGGCAATAATCCGCGAAACTGAGGCCGCACTCCTGGAATAGCTTCCAGTCAACAGCCGATTATATGCAATTCGGCTTTAAGGTTCATGCAATTCACAGACGCCACGCCGAATGGCGCAACGTGTTCGTGGTTTCCGCCTATGCTCCAACAATCTGCAGTTGTTAATCGATCAAGCACGATTGTTATTGCTAACTTCATCGGCCTTTGCGCAGCCTCCAAATCAGATGTCGTCGTCCTCAACGGGGACTACAATGCGCGTGTCGGTGACCTACTATCAGTTTAATATCACCTGGATGGCCATCACGCACTACACAAGAATCCCTCCGAAAACGGAAGCAGGTTTAACACTGTCTCAATACGATGGCTTATTTCTCGCGGGCGCCAACTTCAGACACTTGATAGGACGTTCTGGCACCTGGCGACCTCCTTCATCAATGCAGACTTAGTCTCAAATTGACCACGTTGCCATCATTTTCAGGTGGAAAGGTAGCATACAGAACTGTAGATCATTTTGGTCTACTAATCTTGATACAGATAACGCAGTGGTTTGTGCAAACATATGCGTGCGCTTTGGGTGTTCTCCCAAACGGAAACATTGTAAGGTTGATGCGAAGAACAAGTATTTCCTTCAACAAACTGGTTTTGTTGCGCCAGTTAAGATGGCTCGGTCATGTCCTACACAATGCACCTGAGCGTCTACCGCGTTGCGCTCTATTCGCTCGTCAAGGACCTGGCTGGAAGCCACCGCGTGGTAGTCAGCCTTCCACTTGGCGGCAGCACATGAAATCGCTGACGTCGTGTCTAGCCGCTTTTGGATCCGTACGTCTTCCAGGATGTGGACCCAAAGATGAGGAGAGCCAATGGCTTAGCGCTCTTGAAGACATGGCCCGCAACCGGAATCAGTGGAAGAATTGTGTACTGTGTTGTATTGATTCACATGTTTAATACTACCAATATTGAAAATGATAAAAAAAGAAAAAAAATCGGAGTGTGACAAACAAACTAAAAATGTTTTGTTCTATTTTTTGTCAAAATGTTCCATTCTTCTTGCAGCATATTAGCTGAAGTGTGTTGCCCACCTTCAACTAGCATGCCACGATTATTGTGACGCAATGACTGTCTCCTATTCACTTATTTCCATGGCTTTGTTGGCTCTATGTCTAGTTGCTAGACTGTTGAGATTACATACGTACATGCTTGGTACGAACATGCTAGCAGCCGATGCTTCAGCTCAAGTGAACTACCAAATGTCATTGGCAAGCGCCTTAGCTTGTACCTCCACCCACTGACGTCGTACTGCATTGGGAGCTCTTGCATAATTCGATGCTATCTTCTAGCCAATCAGTTTGTCGATTCACTCATCGCTCCTCCAAGAGTTGGATCTCCGCGCGCTCCCTGACACTGTCGACACCCGCCGAACTTTCCCACATAACTCCGATCAGAATGAATTACGTCACGCCATCAGCAGTCAACTCATAGGAAGTCTTCGCGGTAATCGTGGAGTTTGCTGGCCTCAACGCGCCTTGGAGATGGAAACCACCGCCCTCTCTAGAAATACTCGCGGGTTGTTTCAGCTCATTCGGACCACTGGTCACAGAACATCTGGGTTAATGAAGCTATCTGCGGGGTGGGTAGGTCAAAAGTCACCAAGTTGCAGAGGCGTGTGGACGTATGGGTTGAGTGTTTCCAAACTCAGTTCAGTTCTTTTCCCCGTCGTCCACTTTCGCACCTAGCTCGCCATGGACCGTGTCACTCGAACCACACACTGAGACCGAAGTTCGCCTTAAGATTTGACCTTTGACGCTCTTTAAGACTGCTGCTTCAGACGAGCTTCTTCCAGGAAACCCATCAGCAGTACGCGGGTACGCGGTACCGACGCTTTGCTGCCGCGCACCCACTACCAGTTATATGTGGGCTAAGGATACTAGTAGGGTCAGCTGCTCCTACCTAGGTTCTAACCCGCGCCCTCGAATTGAAAGGTAGGCTTGTGATGCTTAAGGCTGCAGGCCGGCGCTTCCTCCGGAACTATTCAACTATGGTGGAACGGAAATTGCCACCCAGCTAACATCCCTGTGTCTGAAGATCTGGAGAGAGTAAAAGGTCCCCTCTCTATGGGGAGAGTCAGCTATTGTCCCATTCATCGAGAAAGGCTCCCGGACTGCATGTATCAGTCACACAGGAATCACCCTGATATCACTTGCCTCCAAGCTGCTAGTATCCATCATGTCGCGCAGACTATCGCCAACTCGCGAGGCACACTATCGGAAGAAGCAGGTTGGTTTCCGCCCCGACCAAGGCAGTATGGAGCAAACATTCACGCTTCTTCAGCTCCTCGAACATCACCACGTGTACTGCAGACCCACTAGTGTCGTCTTCCTGTACTTTCGGGCTGCATTCGACTCGATACACCGACCTACCTTATGGCATTACCTTCAGGTTAACTGCAAACATGCCCCTTTATCACACGTGAAAATAATCGAATGTCATGAGGCACTTGAATCACACAGGAATTCCAAAATGCTGCTGCGATACGGCCTACTGGTTGAAACCCGCCAGTGAAACCTGACGGACTGGAAGAACCGAAGTTTATCCCTAAAGACAGACATTGATTTGAGTTGCTACTGCAGCATCATCTGTCATGGTTTGATTTTCTTTACAGGCAGAGCGCTTTCAATGGCAGGGACGTACTGATTCGAGGTACATAACCGTGTCCACCGAAAACCATGCCTGACACAAGAAATAAAAATTAGGTCATCGAGATGAAGAGAAGAATGTGTTTGTTAACTTGTTCCACGAATTTACACACTACCGATATAAGGCAAATGAGTGGATGGCTTACGTGATCCTTCTCTCTTGTATGTGAGCTCGGTAACACCCACCTTACAGGCAATCAGGTGGTGTCTAGCTTCCATGAGGATACGCAACGCGTGAGAGTTGAGGATAGAGATGTACTCGGCCACAGTCACAAGGAACAAGTACAAATCATCAGAACCGAGTGAGTATAAAAAGGAGTTTCATAACAACACCAGTCTTAACATATACTTGCCCAAAGACAAATGTGGATACAATATTACCAGAGAACCGTATGTTTCAGTAAAACGGTTAAATACTGCTAGGCCAGGAGGCAGTGTAGACTGATCAACTAACTACGTCCAGTTTCGCGATAAAGAGAGAAGCGCTTATCCATTGGTCGGTGATACTGCAACAACATTGCACTTCCAGAGCGTGCAGCGCATGCTATCTGATGGGACGACTAGAGTTTATGCAGATTAGGCTGGGTCGTGAAAGGATTGTCAAACGGTAAGATAATGTCTTCGGCATCTTCCAAATCAACTAACTTTCTCCAGGTAACACCTCAACGTCTGCATCGTGAGATTTCGCAAGGAAACACTCCGTGATGCAGTTTACGACAAACTTGAAGCAAAAGGGGGGCAACGGAAGAGTCCTGGTAAACGCCATATCGTTAAAACATCTGACCATTATCCGTACACTCTGACGCGACCTGTTGCATTCGAGTACATGACACGTGAAATGTTCATATATTTCATAAGAACACCGTTCCGTGCAAGTATGCTGTATAGTGGACCGGTCAACTAGGCCAAACTCACACTTGAGATCGAGGAACGTGTA